GAAAATGGCAACAGTTGGGGCTGGGGATTTAGCTCAGTGGCGTAAGTGCCTGCCTTGCAAGCAGGCAATCGTGAGTTCGATCCCTGGTACTGATAAAAAAAGAGAAAGACAAAAAAAAAGAAAGAAAGAAAGAAAGAAAGAAAATGGCGACAGTGGAGTGGAGCAGGAAGGGGAGAAGGTGGTGAAATGAGAAACAGAGAAGATAGCAATGAAGGAGTCATGGGGAAGGTAGGAGGTGGAGGAGAAGATGGCGGCAGTGGAGAACAAGTGGGGCTTGGTGAGTGTGGGGGGTGAGAGCAGAAGGGATATTGTCCTTACAGTCAGCAGGATTATCAGGTAAGGGTTTTGATAGTGTGGAGCAAGCCAAAAGTATTTGGGCTGCCCCATGTCCCTGAATGAGGGAGGGGGCATGCCCTGAGAGCAAAAACAGGCCTAAAGATAAGGAACCTGACAATTTGCCATAGGATAGCAAACTTGTTTAAATCATGGAAGGGGGCAGCTGTTATCAAGCTTGTAATGAGGCCAAGCTGTCTGGCAGTAAAAAAGCAATTTGTAGTCTATGAGGTGCCTCTGAGACCTGAGCAAGTGTTTACTTTGAGATTGGAGGTTACAGAGTGAGTAGTTGTCTCAACAGGCGCCTGAGTGGACTGTGTTTTCCTCTTAGGGAATGAGTGTTTCCCATGATGATCAAATCAAGGGTGAGCCAATGAACCAAGAAGGGGTTGCAAACCTGAGGTGGGCTGTCATTGAGTGCAGGCGTGCGTTCGAGGAGCGATCCCAACAATTGAATCTCCCAGTCATCACCAGGGGAAACAAAAGGGAAGATGAGTGGGAATGAGCAAGGAGTAACCCAGTGTGCAGGAAGTGGCTCCTAACTGCAATGGAACGAGAGACAGAGAGAGAGACACACACACTCACAGAGACAGAGACAGAGATAGAGAGAGAGAGAGAGAGAGAAACAGACAGAGAGAGACTCATACATCAGGGAGGGCTTGAACCAGGGGATAGGTCCCTGAGAAGCAATATGACCCTGACTGCTCCAAGTCTAAAATGGCACCAACTGGTTGAATATTTCGGGCACTCAATATGAGGCAGCACAGGAAAAATGAGAGAGAACACCAAGATGAGAGAGGCCTTTAGTGTGGGTATGGGAGAGGCTGCAGAAAGGGGGGTGCAGGGGCTCTCAGCAAGAACAAAGAAGTAAAGCTACTTTTATCAGTTCTGGCTGGGGGAGGAGCTTGGGAGGTGGGCAAATGACATATTAACAGCTGATTTGAAGGAGCATCTGCCTGTGCAAAGCAGGAAATAGAAAGGTTTACTGGAGGCTGGATATGGAGCGCTTGGGTGGTTGTGGAGTCTTGGGATTGGAGAGGGCTCAGAGCACATGCAGAAAAGGGAGGTTTATCTCTGGAATGAGGAAAACATAGGTTACTCTTGGAGAAATAAGTTGCTTCTGTGGGTCTAATACCAAATTGGGCGGATGTCATGCTATAGATAGCTAAGCCCCAGATTAGCAGAATCTATGAGGGATCTTGTCACTGAGAATGGCTGTAGTTGACTTACTTTGATCCTTACTTTGAGAGTCACTTCCCAGCTGGAAGGGAAGATTGTACTGTTCAATCTCCAGAAGTTTGTCAGCTGACTTCCTGATATGTACTCAGCTGTTACTGCTGGAGGAGCATGGAAGCTCATTGTCACTGACTGAGGATGGCTGTGGTACTTTTTTGGGGAGCCCTGGTTATTTTGAGCATCACTTCTTGCTCCCTACTGGCACAGATCCTTCACCCCCCTGGCATAGACTTTCTAGCTTCCACTGTTGAATGAACCTTGGGCCTTCCCAGCACAGATCAGTGAAATAGGCTTGCCTAAGTTATTGTCATGGGCTTTAGGCTTCCAGCTGGACACATGGGGGGGGGGTTGTCATGGGTCCTAGGTTTTCAGCTGGACTTATGCAGGACATTACTATAGGGTTCAGGCCCTCAGCTGAATTCTGTAGGTCTTTAGCGTGTGGACAGATTTCCTATACTTTTTTGTATCTGACTCCTTGGGTGACCATTATAAATACTTTAAATTATGTGCCCTGTATTGTCTTGTTCTCCTTGCAATTCCTGACTGCAACAAACAAAACAAAATATCTGAATTGTAAAAGAAATATCTGGAGTTCTTACTGGTAAAAATGTTTGAATACATGGGGGAGAAGAAAAATCAGTACAGAATTCCAAATATCCTTATTTAGTCTCTGCTTTCAAGGAGGTGCCCCCCCCCCTTCATGTGTTCTGTGCTCATGTGGAATCTTCTCCCAAGATTCTGTGAATCTCTGGGAGGGCTTATATTCTCAGGGCCACACTGGTCCCCAGATATTTCCTATGTGAGCTTCCTTCTGTCCCTCCCTAGTCACCTAGTCATGAAATATGTATCCCACTCCCCTGAAAAACTCAAGAGCTGAGTAGGCTGAAGCCAGAACAAGGGTTTTCCACACAAACAAGACCTATAAATGCAACTGTCACTTTCAGAAAGCCTTTTCCTGGCCTTTCATCACCATCTCCACCCACACCCCAGCCACTTTTAACGCTTTGCTCTCACCTGTTGATTTCCTCTGTCCTTTCCCTGGTCCTGGAACACCATGCTTTACAGGCATGGTGTTAATCTCCCAAGTCTACATACAGCAGATCCTTGGATGAGCTCCTTAGATGATCTAAAAATTTCCCCAAAGACAATGGCTTATGAAAATATTTTCCTCTAGGTGCAAAGGCCATTGAGGAGTTAAGCAAAGAAATTCTATAGCTGGGGACACATGACAAGATTCTGAGGGTAGTATGATAGCTTCCAGACACATCGTCATTCTGGGGGAGCAATGCAAGCAAGTTTGCAAATGTGATAGATTCATATTTCATAGAATTTGGGGGCTGAAAATGGACTCCATAGGTTACTTAGTCCTTTAGTTGAAGAAAGTGAGTTATATCTTCTATTTCCTACAAACTTGCCTTGCTTGTAGAAAACAACTTTCAACCAAATGTTCTTTAAATGTAATTTTCTCCTTTTCTTTTCTTAACAGATCACCTTTCCTGCACCACTGAGCTACATATCCAGTGGAAATACAGTAATTTTTTTCCCTGCTTTTTGATCTTCTATTTCTCAGAAAAAAGTATTTAAATTTAGCTTTCAGATTTTGACCTTGAGCCTTTCACTCTTTTATGGTGATTTTCTGCTCTTCAGTAAGCAAAGCAGCTGCAGGTGGTGGTGCATGCCTGTAATATCACCACTGGGGAGGCTGAGGTAAGAGGATTGTTGCAAGTTTGAGGCCAGCCTGGGCTACATAGTGAGTTCAAGGACAGCCTGAACTGCATAGTGAACCACTCCTGCCCCATCCCCCAAAAGGAAAGTACACTTGATCCTGTCAGGGACATTTTTTTTTTTTTTAATCTTTTTGAGAAAGGGTCTCACTATGCAATTCAGGCTGGCTCTGCGTTCACTTTGTAGCTCAAACTGGTCTCAAACTTCCTCCTGCCTCAGCCTCCCAAGTGTGGGGATTACAGGTGAGAGCCACCATGCCCAGCCACGGTCAGGAGCACATTTACAAACATGGAACCACCATTGACCCTGCTGAGATGTTTCTTCCTTTTAGACACCTCATAAGAACGTTAGATCTCACAGCTCGATGGTCTCATTTTGCTACACACAGATTTTGATGTTTTCTCTATATTCTTGGTACAAAAGTAAACAATTCTATTATCAGGGGCTTGACAAAACCTAGGTCAGCTTACTTTGTAGGAAAGTCTAGGATGGTAGTTAAACTCTGGACCGCTCTGAGTGCACTTTAGATACCCCCCACCTCAGGAGGGGGGTGAAATATAGTCATTTAACAAAGATTTTCACATTTGCATTTTACTACAGCCAGTAATTAATACATCACAACTAGTTTGGGGGGAGACTGAGACAGGGGGCCAGAAGTTCAAGGCCAGAATTTAATGAAACTCTATCTCAAAATAAAAGGGCTGAAAATAAATAAATAAAAGGGCTGGAGACCTAGCTTAAGACTGGAGTGTTTGCCGTGCATGTGTAGACTATAACCTGTACCCTAAATCCTCAGTAACATCACCACATACACCAAAAAGGTAGTTATTTTTAATTTTCACACTCTCTAGTAGAAAAAATGACAAAAGGAGATACCGGGAAACACTGTACATACTAGCAAGAGGTAAAACTGATAAAGGTGCTTGTATTTACAAAAGGTAAACAGCACTTTCAAACATCACAAACCCAATGATACCCTCCCAGTCTTTCAAAAATTCAGAATCAAAACAAGAATCAAAATCCATTCTCCTTCAACACTATCCCAATCAAGACAATAATGACCTCCTCTATGGATCTGGCTGACACATCTCAAGTCTGCTAGTACTGATCCAACAATGTATTTGGATAATTTAGAAAATACGTATACTCTAAGTTTACAGGCATACTCGGAGGGGAAGCATGCTAAACAGGAGTAAAATTTAAAAACAAATCTACACGTGTCGAACCCTGATGTCCACTGCGAGGTTTCAGAGCATAGCTCGGTGCTCTTCCTCCCGAGACTGGAGCTCCTCGAAACGCCTGTCCGTTCTCTCCAACCAGAGAAAGCTCAATGGAAAAAAAGAGCATGACTGTATTGACCTAGTAGACTTAGGCGGCGGGTAACATCCTGCCACCAACGCGAGTGAGTCGTGCGGGAAGCGGCAGGCAGGAGCAACGCAGAGCGACGCTCCCTCCCGCCTGGTGCAGCGGGGACCCGCCGGGGCACAAAGGTTGCCGGCTGCACCTTAACTCCTCGCGGCCGGGCTGCCAGAAGCCCCTAGTCTTCGGCCCCCGCGCAAGCGACGCCGGGAAATGCCCACATCCGGGAAACCTGCAGCGGAGTGCGGCGGCGACACGGAGTGGAAGGCAAAATGGCGGCGGAGGCGGTGGTCTGGTGCTAAGGGGAGAGCCAGGTCCCGGCGACCCCCGCAACGGGTCGCGCCGGTCCGCGGCAGCCCCCTGGCGTCTTTGCTCGCCTTGCCCCACCCAGGCTGCGGGGGGCCTCCGGGACAGGCCCTGGTCGCCTTGGCGCCAGCCCTCGGGCCCGTGGCTGCTGTCCAGGAGCCCCGCTGTCCCCTGCAGGTAGGTCCGGGGTTGGCGTAGCGGGTGGGGCTCATTCTGCTTTGGAGCCGGAGTCGTCGGGGCGGTGGCCGCCGGGGCCCACGCCCATCCCCGCTGGCGGGGGTCCAGGGGCTGCTGTAGACGGGCGGGCTGAGCCGGCCGGGTCCAGGCCTGACTTGCCTAGTTGCACTGACCTGACCTGAGCCCTGCCCTGGGGAAACGAGGGTTGGCCGCACCCTTGCTTTAGGAAGAGCCCCAGGCCTTTCGGCCCTGGAGGTGCAGTTTAGGCTGCGGAGAACCTGTCCTTGCTAGAGGCCTCGCCGCTACTGTCTTCCTGGATCCCTGCTACCCTGCGAGCCTAGGAGGGGAAAAAAGCGAAAGGGATTCAGAGGGAAAGTGGAGAACTACCTTTGGATAGCAGAGGGCTCCGATCCAGGGTACCTTGAAGAGTTCTATGAGGCTTTTTTTCCAGTCTGTTGTAATGTTCAGTCACTGTTCATGGTGGAAGTGGTGAGAGAGATGGAGATAGGTGTCTTCGTGGAATAGGAGTGTATGCATAAACACATAAAACGAAGAAAAGACAAAATAACTTGTACAAAGAATGACTCAGGTGATTTTGAAGACTCTGACTTTGCTAATTATTTTCTAAAGGGCAAAGTTTAATGTTTGTCCACCCATATACATATGACTTTTAAAATTTATCGTTTAGAAGTTATTCTAGTGAATAATAAATACAGTATCTCTCACACAAAAATTATTGTATTTGCAATTCTGGAAATGAATTTGAATCCCTGGGATCATGAAGCTTGTCAGCTGCTCATAGATTTATGTGTTGAAAATTAAATTTTTTTTTTATCAGTTTTACTCTGTGAGGAAGAAAAGGCAAGACATTATGGTTGACATGAATGTTCCCGGTTAAGATAACTACCTACATTTGTGATGGCTGTAACTGAGATTTTCTGTTACCTTTTGATATGTAGACAGATAGGTAAAGTGGACTAGGTGATTTCCTAAAGCATTGGAGGAATTTAGAAGTACCATTGTATTTTTTCTGATAATCTGTTCCTGCAAGAAATCAAATCAGAGCACATGTTGGAAAAGGCACATTCTTTCTTTAATTGAATATGTCTGCTGCTCTCAAAACTATTAAAAAGCACTTTTCTTTCTTTATTATGATATCTAGTTTTCATTCTATAGGTTTTAATGTTAGTCATTCTGTACACATATGGTCTTAGAACAATTTTACTCTGGGTTATTTTTTTCTATATTTAAAATGTATCACAATATGGACCTGATAAATTCATGGGTGACTCTCATGCACTACCTAAATTATTGAATCAAGTAGAAATGATAAGCATGTGGATACATGCCTGTAATCCCAACACTTGGGAGGTTGAGGCAGGGGGATCTCTGTGAGTTTGAGGCCAGCCTGGGCTACATAATGGAGTTCAACAACAGCCTTAACCATATACCAAGACCCTGTATCAAAGAAAAAAAAATTTTTTTTTTTTTTGTCTTTTTCGTTTTTACCGGTACCGGGGATCGAACTCACGACTGCCTGCTTGCAAGGCAGGCACTTATGCCATTGAGCTAAATCCCCAGCCCCGAAAAAAAATTTTTTTCAGGAGAAAGATAAAAATGTAATGATATTTTTTCTCTTTCCCTTCCTCCCTCTCTCCCTTCCTCCTCCTCTTCCTTGTGCCCGTGGTGCTGGCACTCTGACACAGCAACTCAAGCATGTTAGGCAAGCAGTCTCACACTTAACTGCATGCCCAATCCTTTTTGTAGGGGCATGGTCTGTGTAAATTGTGCAAGTTGACCTTCAGCTTGTGATCATTCTGCTTCAGCCTCCTACATAGCAGGTTGGATTAAAAGAGTCCATCACCATTCCCAACTCCACATTTTTACTTGTGAGAACAGTTAATTCTTAGAAAGTAGATGAAAGAAAATGCCAAGTGCAGAGATTTATGAGTATTGCTCTCTATGATATTATGCTCTAAAAACAAAACAAAACAAAAAAAACAAAACAAAAAACAGTAAAGCCAGGAATTGTGGCACACAGCTGTAACCCCAGCACATGGGAGGCTGAGGCAGGAGAATTGCTGCAAATTTGAGACCAGCTTGCACCTATGTAGTGAGACCTTGTCTCCAAACCAAACAAAATCCCCCACCCAGTACACATTGTTATTAATAGTCTTAACACTGATCTATCTAGTCAAGCCATTGGAAACCCCCTTCCCCTTTGTGGCAAGAATCTTGGGCTGGATTTGAACATGTGATCCTCCTGTCTGAGCTTCTTGTAGTGCTGGGATTAGAGGCATTTGCCACTATGCCTGGTTCAGACCATCTTTTTTTATACATTTAATTCCACCTGTTTTTTCCTTAATTGTACAAATAAATAACTTTTTATTTTATTTTATTTTTTGGTACTGGGGAGTGAACTCACAACCTCACGTTTGCCAAGCTCTTCTACTGAGCCACATCCCCAACCTGTGTATTTTTGAAGGTTTTAAATATCCAAAAATTGAAGTTGGTCTACTCATTGTAAGCAGTTTGGATGTCCCTTGAAAACATGAGTGAATCATAATCTCTGCCCTTAGGAGGCTGAAGATGTAGATGTAAAAAGTGCCCTGGACTGGGTTAGGATGTGAAGTCCATTCCTAGCATTACCATCAGCTGACTATGTGACCTGATGTATGTCATATTACTTCTCTGGGTCCATTTTCTTGTCTGTTAAAAACATTTCCAAGACATCTGTAACCAAGATCTGTAACCAAGGAGGAAAAAAAATAATAGGACAAAAGTGTATGTTTTATTGGAATTGTCCAAAGTGCATGTGGTATTCAGAAAAGGATAATAGCTGGCAGTACGTCAGTTCCTGTTAGAGGAGACATTTGAATGAAAGTTTGATATAATTTCTTTAAGAAGGAATATGCTAAGAGCTCTCCCAAGAAGAGTAAACAGGATGAGTAAGGAGTTGAAAATAGAAAAGCACAAGGCATGTTAGCAGAGAGCTAGTAATTCGGCTTGGTTAGAGAATAAGGTACAAGTAGGGAGATAGTTGGGAAGTATGGGTCAGAGGTAAGATAATAACTAATGTGTGAGTCAGGTGTGTTTTCTAAACACTTGACATGGTTGGGTCTTTTTTTTTGTCTTTTTCCTTTTTGTCGGTACCAGGGATTGAACTCATGACCGCACACTTGCAAGGCAGGCACTTATGCCGCTGAGCTAAATCCCCAGCCCCGACATGGTGGTTTTGTTTTGCCTTTTATTTTGTTTGTGTTTTGAGAGAGGGTCTCACGGAGTTGTTCAGGCTGGACTGGGACTTGTAACCCTCCTGCCTCAGCCTCCCAGAGAGCTGAGATTACAGGTTCACATGACCATGCCTATCTTGTCATGTATTAAACCTGTTTAGTGTTCACTACAACCCTATGTAAGATAGAACCTATTTCTGCCCACATTTGACAATAAAGAAATTGAGGAACAGAGGTTAAACAGCTTGTCCAACCAAGATCAAACAGCTAATAAGTGGTAGAGTTGATAGTCATACCTGGGCAGTGAAAATAAAGGGAAGTGATATGATTAGAACTATTCCTTAGGAAAACTAATCTGATACCATTGTACCATGGGTTAATAGGTAAGCTTTTTTTTTTTTTCTTTGAACAGTTCTTTTATTCCTTTATTTTTGAGATAGAATCTCACTTTATTGCCCAGGTTTGTCTACACCCTCCAGAGCCTCCCCAGTAGCTGGGATCGTGGGTATAGAGAACTGTTCTTGACTTCTTTGAAAAATTCTTTTTAAAATTCTCTTTGCCTGTGAATAATTTGAATTTTCACCTGTGATAGTAATAAAGATTACTAAGATTTGATAAAACCTGTGTCAACTATACTTTGTTGAAGGGATTGTAAATTAGTACACCTTTTTGAAAGACAGTCTGAAAGTATCTTAAGTTTGAATATTCATTCTCTTATATTTATGTATGTTTTGTTTGTTTTGCAGTGCTGGGGATTAAATCCAGGGCCTTGAGTGTGCTATGTAAGATAGAAGATAGGGTGCTAAGCAGGGATTCTACAATTGAGCTACATCCCTTGTCCTGTGCATTCTCTTTAATCTGGCAGTTCTACTTCTGAGAATTTATCTTTTTTTCTTTTTCTGAGACTTTATCTTACGGAAGGCTCAATAATGTGTACATTTTTTTTTAACATTTATTTATTTATTTTTTTCTCTTTTTATCGGAACCGGCGATTGAACTCACGACCGCCTGCTTGCAAGGCAGGTGCTTATGCCGCTGAGCTAAATCCCCAGCCCCAATGTGTACATATTTTTATTAATTAACTTTGATATGGTAAGGAATGTGCTGTATACATGTAAGCTATATGGTACAAGAAAATGAATATGAAATCTGTACTCATCCTCAGAACTAAAATAGTGTTTGCAACATATTTCTATAGTAGCGAAAAAACACGGGAGTATAAAATAAATTATCATCAGTAAGGGAAAAATAAAGAAATCTATAAGATGAAATTCAGTATATAGTTACTTAAAGGGACATGGTCAAACTGTCATTTTCCCAATTTTCAAACACTATAATGTAAGACAAACCATCTATTCAGTAACAATTGTTTTTAGTTTTATTAGTGTATATTTGCAATATATAATGATTACATTCATAGTGGGGAATTGGTACCTGTATATAACACATCTTAATTGTTTTTACTTCTCCTTTCTCTCTCTCCATTCTTGGTCCCCTTCCCATTTGCAAAAGAGCTACCTCCTTGTTTCCTATTACATTATTTTTATTTTTATTTATATGTTGGGTTTCTCATATAAGAGAAATGTGATATTTGTTTGTCTGATTTGTTTCACAAAATAGTATGACACATCCATTTTCCAACAAATGATTTAAATTTCTCCTTTATAGCAGAGTGGTACTGGATTGTGTATAAACACAGATTATATTTTCTTTTCTTTCTTTTTTTTTTTTAAAGTCTTTTCCTTTTTATCGGTACCAGGGATCGAA